TCAGAATAAATTTATAACTTACTATCAGTAAATCCATTGTTTGTATTTATAGACCCAAGGCTGTGCAAAATTTTCTCAGGTGTAAAGGGTTTGTAAGTTGTAGCTGGTGACTTTTCTCTGTCCTGCCTGGTCCTGCTGGACCGGTTTCTCTCCTGCCTACCGGTCCCCGCAGCCACTTATAAAATAATAATTCGGAGGCTTAATATTACTTATAATTGCTTGGCCGATGGCTCAGGCTTCTTATTGGCTAACTCCACATAAAACTTAACCCATTTCTAATAGAACCTTTACCAGACTCTCATGGATTCATGCTACAGTAAATAGAAGTGCAAGAAGGCCTGCCTTAGCAAGGATGCTTGTTCTCTGTTACCACAGTGGAGTGCTTGCGGGATGCTACCCTAGAACAAAGGGCTGCTTAGCACACAGTTTGGAGGAATGAAGTCCCCCAGTGGGCAGCCCCAGTGGTGGCCTCTGGTAGAGCCAGAGGAGATGGCATCATAGTGTGTGTGTATGCAGGAGGGAATGCATCCATCACAGAGAGGGATCCAGAGAGCAGCTCAGGGACCTGATTGTCTCCTTCAGTTCACACTCAAGTCTGGAGGCTAGACTCCTGAGGGCAGAGCTCCCTGGACAGTGAATGTGAATTGTTGTAAGTAGATGCCACCATACGAAGGTTCCTGAGCTATGTCGGGACTGAGCTTTAATAAGTATGTCCTTGAGAGAGAAACTCCATCAGATCAGCTGCCCTGGCTCCCTTGCTGTATTCTGCCACTTTTCAGAATTTAATCATGATGTATTCAGCAATGACTTGAGTTTACTTTGTCCTCTTTGAATGCTCGTCTTTCCCAAACTCTCCGTCATTACTTAAGAGCTTTTTTCCCTCTGATTGTCTTCTGGGTCGTTTGCTCTCCCACTCATGGAGCAAGAGACGAGAAGTAGAACCTCGCACCACGCAGCAGCACTGCATGGGCCATGCACAAGGTCTGCGGCCTCACCCAGGGTGGCCAGGGGCCAGGGGCCAGGGGCCAGGAGAGATAGGATTATACAATTATTCTCAATTAGATTAATAAAGAATAATTAGGTGTCATAAATCAAGTAATCATAAGATATTGTCATAGGAAAAATATGTAGGTAGAATTAATTAGTTTTCAAATAAAGCATTTATTTTAATTGCCTGAAATGATGGAGCCCTTAATTGTTGATGCATCATTTTGGCCTGAACTTTCCGGCTGTTGTAACAGCGTGACGTGACGGGTTTGTTCCCTGCATTTCTGGGGAGACAATAGAGGAGCCCTTGATTTCATCACCTCACAATGAACCTTCTGCTGGGAGGCTCTGGAAACTCCCACCATGCCGCAGGCAGGCGGCAAGTGTGGGCCGAGCTTCGGCTGGCAATGCCCAGGGTCGTGTGTGTGAGAACTCTTACACATGTATGTGCATGAGTGTGCATGTGAGCACAAGTGTACACATGTGTTCTGGTGTGTGTACCTGAGGGTCTGTATGCCCTTGTGTGTGGAATACATTTGAAGGGGCTGCATGTGTGTGTGCGTTGATGTATGCATGTATAAGTGTGAGCATCTGTGTGTATAACATGGCTACAGTGTGTGTGGTATCTGGATTGCACTCGTGTGCCTACAGAAGTAGCCTCCCACAGGGGGTGGCCTGCCAGAGATCATTGCTTGAACGCAGGTGGCAGGATGCCCCTATCCTGGCCTTTGAGTTTCCCTGCTGGGTGAACGAGCTGTAAGAGACTTAAGTTCTTGGCAGTAGGGGAGCTAGGGCCTGTGGACCTGTATCTGACGAGAACACAGCTGGGCTTTAGAGGGCCCACAGCTGCCCCCTGAACCTGTTGTTTGGACTACCTGCTCGAGGCAGTCCTTCTAGCATTTGTGATCTTTTCAGGGGCGTGTGTCTGTGAACAGTGTAGGTCGTGTCTTCTCTGTAGACATTGTGAAGAGTTAGCGTTTAGCAAATGATAAGTTTTATATAGCTAAAGCTCCTTCCCTATTCCCCCCACCAAAAAAGACAAAAAAAAAAAAAAAACAGAAAAGAGGGGACTTGGCAGTTTGTACCTGCATGGTAACCTTGTTTTCTTTGAAAGGTCTTGAGGGAGTCAGGGTCCAAGCATAGAGTTAGCCTAGAAAAGGCTTGACCTGGTAGGACCTGCATCAGGTCAGTAGGACAAGATATGTGTCTGGTATAGGTACAGACCTCCCTGGCCTTCCCCCATCCTTCTCTACCCTCCATACAGGGCCTGGTGGTCTCCTGGGAGCCTGGCTCTGGCTGCTGTATGTCTTCCACTGTGGTATGGATCAGAGCCCATACCTCCCTTTCCTGTAACAGAGGAAAAGGGAGGGCGTAGGATAGTGTGGAGGCATGGCACTGGGGCATGCTGGTGGAGATGGGCTTGATAGGGTTGTACTGGGGAGGCTGCCTGCTACAGAAGCCTTTGCCCCCCCCCCCCCCCCCCCCCCCCCCCCCCCCCCCCCCCCGGCCTCTTTACTGCTTGTCGCTGTGTGTGGCCTCAGCCTGTAGTTCCTCTTCCTACATTCCACGCCAGCCTTAAAGCCCAGTCTCCACTCTGGAAGAATCCTGCCCAGCTCTTTTGCTCCGTTCTTTTCCTTTCCACGTTCTTTGGATGGCTGCAGCTGCCACCCAAGTTGGGCAGACCTGCCTCTCCCTGCTGTGCAGGCTGCATGTAAGTAGAGTAGGATGCATCTCTGCCCAGTGGAAAGACAAACAACCTGCAGCCCCCTACTGTCTGCCTCTGACCTTTTCTCCTCTACCTTCATCCCAGCCTGTGGCCTTGGGGCCACCCTTGCCTCTGAAGAGCGGCCAGCTGAGGTACTGGGGTATTGTGAGGGGGTAGACTACAGACAAGGCTGAATGTGTGGTCTAGGGGAAATTTCTTCTTTGCAAGGTAGACCCTAGCAGGTCTTGTATACAAGTCCTGTGCTTTGAGGCATGGTCTGCTGAGACAGCAGTTCTGTGGGTGTGACAGATGACTTTGTCCTGCCCTTTCACATGTACCCTTCCTGGCTGCTCTGCCACTTGGTGGCACATGCCTCAAGAGCATTTCAGGTCCAGTCCCAGGAATCTGGGGCAGCTCACCCAATCATTTCCTGCCTCAGTTTCTCAAAATTAAAGAGTATGCCATTCACAAAGTGGTTATAATTAGAAGAAGTTCTGGCCTGGTAATGGTGGCGCACTCCTTTAATCCTAGCACTTTGAGCAGGTGGATCTCTTGAGAGAGTTCCAGGACAGCCAGGGCTACACAGAGAAACCCTGTCTCAAAAACAAATGAACAAAAATAATTAAAAGTTTCGGCAGTTTGGGCCAGGATCCAGTCAGGCTGCTTGTAGCACTCTCAGGACCCCGCGTAGCTCTTCATTTGTAAGCACGTGTCTGCTGAGCAGGTGCTGGCGCTGGGCACAGGGCTGGCACTGGGGCAGGAATGGTATTCATCCTCCAGGCATGTCATTACTCTACTTTAGGGAGGAATGAAAAGGGGCTACAGAGTGGAGGGCGCCCAGGGGAGGCACAGAGGTGAGGCCTGCTGGTAGACTCAGTCCTGTGGGTGTCAGGATGTGTGCCTCTGAGTATGCAGGGTCAGTCTTTACCACCTGACTTGTGGACCACCATAGGGGCAAGGACGTGGGCTCTCGTAGGAAAAGGAGATTAGGCATAACTCTGAAAAGTGTGACAAGTCAGGTGGAAGTGTTTTTCTGTCCTGCCAGTTCCCAAATAATGACAGAAACTTACTATTTATGAAAGCTCAGCCTATAGCTTAGGCTTGTTCCTAACTAGCTCTTAACTCATTTATATTCATCTGTGTTCTGCCCTGTGGCTTGTGACTGTTACGTCTCCTGGAGTCTCCACCTTTCTTATTCCCAGAGTCCTCTCTGTCCCCAGAAGTCCCTCCTATGCCTTCTGCCTAGCTATTGGCCATTCAGCTCTTTATTACACCAATCACAGCAACACATCTTCACACAGCACAGATATATTCCACAACATGGGGGGAGGACATGGCAGGAGTCTGGGGATCCAGGCTGACGTCAGACCAGGGTCAGCAGATGGCTTCGAGAGCACGCAGACAATGGGTATGGGTGAAACTAAACTGACTGAGTTTTTGCTAAAAGTGTTCACGTGGGCCTACAAGAAGGTCCAGGAGCCTGAATCAAGTTTGGCCAAGCGAAGGCTCCTTTTCTGTGGTGCCAGAAGTGGAGTCCAGGGCCTTGAGCTTGGTAGGCAAGTGCTCTACTGTAGAGGCAGCAAGACCTCCATATTGGGCTCCCAGGATGTGATTGCCAAGGAGGGGCAGGCTTGGACCTTTGTGATACCAGAGCTGATAGATAAGATGGGGGTTTGGGGATGGGGAGGGCTGGAGGTGCCAAGCAGGAACTATGACAGATTGACAGTTGAGGCAAGGATGGGCTGCTGTAGCGCCTGCACTACGGGATGGTACACGAGCCGGGAACTAATCTGGAAACATAAAAACACACACACAGAGACATACAGGGACACGAGTCATCCTTGATATAAGAGTGCCAAGTTTATTGTGCTCCAGGGAAGCTTATATAGGGATCCTTAACTGATAGACACGCCCAGCTCTCGGGATCCTTCAGCCGCAGGCCTCACCAGAACCCACTCCCCTGCTGTCAGGGTCTCGTGCTCAGAGCAGCTGCAGGCACAGGTAAACAAGTTGTTTTGCTCAGTTCACTCCAGCAGGCAAAGGGTCTGAGGCAAGCAAAGAAAGTTAAGGGGCCAGGGGTCTGCAGCCCCCAACAGGCTGTACTTGTGGCAGCCATGTGGTCCATGCCCGGGGCTGGCTGTTCCTCAGCCACAGAGCCTGTCTGCATGATGGAGAACAGCAGCATCCTTTCCCCAGAAGGAGCAGAAGTTGAGTACGGAGCCAACAGCTTTCTAGATGCCGATTTCCAGCTGCCTTCTGAAGAAATAGAGAGCTCTCTGTCACTCACATGTTCTCCCTTACACCCCAGGATTGCATCTACCACATGGCAGCCCTGTCCCCACCACCGCCTGGTCCCACGTTTGTCCTCCGAGGCACACAGTCACCTGTGAACACGCTGCATTTCGGCCCACCATCCCAAGCTCTGGGGAGCCCACTCCTTTTCTCAGGGTGAGTAACAGCAGTCCTACCCCAAGCCCACGGTAATGTCCAGCACTGGATTTCCCAGAGCTTGGTGCTTACCTAAGGTGCTGGCAGAAGGCCCTGTGCTTGCCTGAAACACTGTCCACTCTGGAACTCCTTGGAGGAGCAGAGAGTTTTGCCTCTGTCTCACACCACTGAGTTCTGACAAAGTACCCCAACCCCAGGCCCTCTGGCCACCTCTGCTGACCTGCAGTTCGGAGTCAAGTCTCCAGCTGATGTATAGCCTTCCACTAGCTGTGTGTGGTGTTGGTCTGGAGCAGTTCAAGATGTCTACTGACTGCTGCCCCTGTCCCTGCCTTGCCTGTCTCCAACAGGTCTCAGAGTGGCCTGGTGCACATCTGGAGCCTGCAGACCAGAAGGACAGTGGCCACCCTGAATGGCCACGAGGGCCAGGGTGTGACCTGGTTGAAGACACTGCCCCAGGGGCACCAGCTTCTCAGGTGGGTCACAGCAGCACAAGGGAGCAGCAGGGGACCTCTGCTGGGAACTCTTTTGACAGGCCCCTGTGACTGTCTTTAGCTAGAGCTCAATGGCAATGAACCAAAGGTGTTAGGGGCATCCTGCCAGCTTGGCTGTAGTTTACAGAGAGTGTGGGGCAGCTCCAGCCTTTGGGAAGTAGACAGCTCTGACTTCTCTCAGGCGGGACCATCTTCTTCCCTGGGGTTCTCTGGAGGTGCCATCTGGGGTAGCTGACACCAGTCAGAAGGCAGCTGATAGAAAGGCCCTGGGCTGTGACTTAGAAGTGGGCAGAGGTAACCGTACCATGTGCTAACAGGTATGAATAAAGCAGAACCCAGGCTCAAAAGAGCTGAAAGTTCAGCCCTGAGGAGTCCCTGCTCACCCAGGGCCCAGACACTTGGGTGGCCTTGGTCATAGGGCTAGGACCAAGCATAAAGGGTAGCCTGGAACTGGCACGTATATAAACACCCTACCTCCCAGCCAGGTGATGGTGCTGCAGTCCCACCTACAGCCCCCACTGAGGGTCAGGAGGCCTGTAGTGGGGGCTGCAGGTATGGAATGCCCAGGTGCATTTGCACTGCACTGGAGGCCACGGCCCACCAAGGCTGCCTGGCCTCAGCTGTGTTTGGGTCCAGGTTTCTCCGAGAGGCCCTGGAAGGGGTTGTGTGCTTTCATATCTAGCAGGGCTGAAGGACCCCCAGCCCTACTTGCACCTGGACCACAAGAGCTGCACCAGCTAGCATTTACCTTCTTCATTATGAAGCCACTTCTTTCCAGGCTAGTACAGGAGCACGCAGACCCTTTAGCACCTGAGTAACCACTGCCCAGTCAAGTACAGCACCGCAGCACCACCCGCTGTGCAGGCGGCAGCAGCCCAGGGCTGCTAGGCTGGCTTGCTGTGTGTCTTAAAAAAGGGCAGAATGGTTTTATGAGTTTTTCCTAACTTTAGGTTAGGAAAACAAAGCAAAAGACTGCCAGGTATTTAATACACACCTGTGGTCCCAATGCTCAGGAAACCGGGCAGGATTGCTGTGAGTTTGAGGCCAGTTTGGGATATACCACTGGTTTCTGCCAATTTTTCTACTGAACTGACTGCATCTTTCTTATTGATATGTGGAATCCTTTTTATATTTTAGATAGCATCATTATTCTTTTATCAAAGATTATCTCTGCAACAGGGTGACATATGTTTATACTCTCTTAGGGATGACTTCGTGGTAATGGAGTCACGTTGGCCAGACTGTCCCTATGTGGTCGGGCTCCTGGGTCTTATGGAGGAGACTGCGCTAAGACATGAACATCCTTGGCCTATCTCCAGAGCTCACTGTTGCTTCTTTTAGACCCGCAGTCCCTCTGGAGTGTGCTGCTAAGGTGGGGTGCAGGCAAAGCCCGCTGCCCATCATCCTTTCTGTGCTTCCCCTCCAGCTTAGCTCTGTTGACATCAGTGTCCAAGGTCACAGACAGGAAGCAAATGCTAGCAGCTACACAGGGGCCCTGGGATCGGTTCCCTGGTCTGCGTTTCTCATGATCTCGGTACTTTTCAAGGGCTCGATAGAATGCCCCCAGGCTCAGGATAAGACTGAGGCCCTGGGTTTGGGAGGAACCCCAGTGTGGTGACTGCCAGCCTTGTGGTGCTGGGGGTGCATGAGTCTCTGTCTCTCCTTGGCAAGTGAGACTGGCGTTGGTCACATAGATGGGTGGTGCCTGCTGGACCCACTATCAGCATTCAATGAATTTCCCTAATCTGAAAGCTTGTTTCTTGTTGGTTTTTGAGACAGGGTCTCACTATATAGTTCTGGCTAACCTGGAACACCTTACATTGTAGACCAGGCTGAACCTGAACTCACAGAGACCCGCCTCCTCGGTGCTGGGGTTAAAACCATGTGCCACCACTCCCTGAATAAAAATCTGAAAGTTGTAGAGTGTCATGTCGGCTCTCAAAAAGTTTCAGATTTCAGAGCTTTTCCTAGTTCCTGTTTTCAAAATAGGGGGGTTAACTGGTGAAGTTTACACAAATATTCCAGGCTCTGAAAATACCTGAGCACTTGCAGTCCCGTGTGTTTTAGAAGGAGGTTCTTGTGCAGGGACTGATGGCCTTAGCAGACAAATGAAACAGAAGATGCTGTTGGCAATGAGCCCTTTAAAAAGTGGGGAAGCAGGAAACTTTTATCCCAGTACTCAGAGGCAGAGGCCCAAGGATCTCTGTGAACTTCAGGACATCCAGGAACTATATAGAGAGAACTTGTCTCAAAATACCACCTACCCTCCCCCACAAAAAGAGGAAAAGAAAAGAGGTCTCAACCCATAGTATTTCCTAGGTCCCTGAGAAGCAAGTCGTGGGGGGAGGGGAGGTGTCCAAGAATATGTAGGTCTGTTAAAGCCAGCACAGGCCCTAGAACATTCTGGGGACACTCTGAGCCTGTGTTAATACCTGTTTTTTCCCACTGTTGGTAGCTTCCTGCAATGGCTTCTACCTGAAGTAGTTCTGTCTGGTGTATTCTCATGGAACTCTGTCTCCCTCACACCTGTTCACTCTATTGGTAGAATACTGCTTTAGTCAGCACGGAAGAGCTGTCCCTGCTTCCCCTTTCTTAAAGGGCTCGCTGCCAATAGCATCTTTGTTCATTTGTTAATGCTGCCTTCCTTCCCCACGCTGCAAGACCCTTGAGCCACATCTTGGCTTTCCCTTACTCCAGCTGTAGAATCAACGTCTCTCCAGAAACCTGGCTGTTGTGCTTAGAAAACTGATGAGTTTTGGCACTGGGCTATCCATGGGTGGCACAGGGACAGAGACTTGAACCTGCATGTCCATCCTGTCCTACTCACCTGTGTTCATCCGTGTGTCCTGTCTGCATGTGTCTGGCCACACACATGTTGATGCTGACCTCCAGGTTCCGATATGACCCATAGTTCTGTATGCTTACCAGTTGTACCACAGCTCTTTGGAAAGGAACCACGTCCCTACATCCACTACTGCTCCAATATTTGCTCAGCCAGAGAGGGAGAGCCAGTGCCTGTAAGGATCCCGGCCTGCTCAGGGCCACTGTTTTTACAGTTATGTGAATCTTTAACCATGTAGGCTTCAGTCAGCACCTCCTTGTGTGCCTCAGGTCAGCCTCTGTTTGGTCTTCCTGAACCAGTGTCCCGTTATCCACATAGTCACAGTGCAGTCCTTCACAGGCTGTTGCTCAGCTGGCTGGGCTGTTTTCGTTGTGCACAACGACAGTCACACTGTCTGTGGGTCTATGGGTTTGACACAGCACTGCCATGTGTCCATTTCCTCAAGAGCTACCCGCTGTGGTCAGTTCTCTCATGGTTCTCCATCCCTGTGCCTACTCCTTTTCTAGAATGTCACAGGATTGTAGTTACACGCTACAGAGCTTCAGGTCTGGCTTCTTTCACTTTACAAATCATGGCTCAGCTGCCTTCCAACTGTTGCATGTGTCGGCAGTTGGCGCTGTCCCTTGCTGAATGGCACTCTGTGGCACAGCATACTTGGCCATTCTTTTGCTGCAGAGCAGCTGGATTTTTTCCAGCTCTGGTGGTAACGCCTGGAGCTGCTCTCAACATGCTTGCATGGCATTTTGAGTGAAAGTAGGTCTCAAATGCACTTTGGAAGAGACCCAAGTGAGATTTCTGAGTCCTTAAAGGCACTTTACAGAGAAGAAAGGGGTGCAGATATACTTCAGTGGCACTGAACAGCAGGAGGCTGGTCATAGGTGCATGCATGTGTCCATAGTCTTAGTCTACTGAATTATCTTGGCCTCAGTGCCAACTCTGCTGTGAACCCTGAGGGAGAAGTCCTCTTCAACTGAGACTGGATGGTGCAAAGTTTACCTGGCCTTCTTTGGAAGGGTTATAGGCCAGATACCAGTTCAAGTGGGTACATAATGCTCACAGTGTCTCATAGACCCCCTCCCCTTGTTTCATCAGCCAGGGCCGGGACCTGCGGCTGTGCCTGTGGGACTTGGCAGAGGGCAGGAATACCATCCTGGATGAAATTCAGTTGGACAGTGTGGGCTTCTGCAAGAGCTCTGTCCTGGCCAGGGGACAGCTATGTTGGATGCTTGCTGTGCCTGGGAAGGGCAACAGTGAGGTAAGGACCAGCCCTCATTCACTAATGACACTGGGTTTGTCTTAACCAGACACACTTGTCCTCTCCCAGCAAGGAGGACCATAGGACTCTTGTCAGGTCTGCAACTTACCTGCTTCACTGCAGCTCCAGCAGCCTCAGGCTGATGCCCAGCCTGGTCACCTGTGAGCTCTTAGCCTTCCAGGGCAATGGTGAGAATCAGGAAGGGCTCAGGTAGACCTGGTACTCAGCATAATGCTGTTCCTGGAGGAGGGCCGCTCAGGGCTGTCTAGACCTGAGTGTTTGTGCACACACACACACACACACACACACACACACACACACACGCAAACATGTCTATTTACATATTCATGTACATGCGTGGTTGTATACAGAGAGAGACCTCCAGAAATTGGGGGCCTAGCTGCACTGCTAGCCTGTGGGAAGAGGCAGCAGAGACACCAGTACAGTGAAGCAACAGGGGAATTCACACACGGGTGGAGCTCATGAAAATACAGGTTCTGGAGGCTGAATGAGCTTGGGAGTGGCCAGGGAAGGGAGGATAAAGCCTACATTTCAAAAGCCAGAATGAGAGCAACTCTGGAGGTAAGAAGAGGTTCAGAGGAACTCCTGGTCATCCGAGGCTTCTGTGAAACAAGCTGTTCCACAAACTGGCAAAAAGGAAAGGAACAGGGAAAAAAGACATTTGAAAATGGCAACCCAGCAGCAGTGAAGCTTGAGCAACAGGGAGTCCCAGGAGATGGATCCAAAACCAGAACCCTCTGCTTTCTGTAAGATTAAACTAGCCCTGTCTCAGACTTCTTCCTATAGAACTGCCATCACCCTGTATGCAGAGCTATGGGTACAAGGCATGGCCAGTGATGAGCAGCCAAAAGGTGAGGACTGTGCTTCAACTCAATACATGTACATTCTGGAAGTGATGGTGCATGAGGAGGCAGAAGTCACAGATACAAAATCTGCAGAGCCCACGGGCCATGACAAGGACTGTCCCTACCTGAGAACTCAGGAAGACCCCATTATGGCCGCAGAGAGAGGCTGGAGTGTAAGAGGCCTCAGGTGGGAGTTATTGGTGAACTTAGGGCTGTCTAGGATCCCAATCTGGGATTTGCATTGAGAGTGTAGAAAGCTCAGCATCCATCCTACATCAGAAAAGCAGGTTCCCAGGGTCAGACCCAGGGCAGCTACCTTGCCTAGCCTGATTCTCCAGGCCTCTGGGAGCCAGAAGAGCAGTGCCTAGCCTTCCTGAGCGTGGAGCCTCCTACAGACACTGGAGCTTTCCATCTGGCACCCACTGCCAACTTTTGTTTCCAGAAGGAAAAATGCTAAGTTTGGGCAAGTGTGGCCACCCAGACGGCCGCGAGGGGTGGGAGCATGCTCTCAGGCATTGTTTGGGCCTAAGCCAGCTGTGCTTTTCCAGGGCCCAGTTTAGGCAGATTCCTGGCAGACTGGAAAACAACCATTTGCTCAGGATATGCTGGTAGCTTCTGAAAATACAACGTCCGGCTGTTCAGATGGCTCAGCGGTAAAGGTGCTTGCTGCCTAGCCTGACAGCCTAAGTTCAATTTCCAGATTGCACATGGTGAGAGATCTGTGTCATAAAAGCTGTACACATACACAGAGGGAGAAGGGGGAGGGAGGGAGAGAGGGAGGGAGGGAGGGAGGGAGGGAGAGAGAGAGAGAGAGAGAGAGAGAGAGAGAGAGAGAGAGAGAGAATAAAAACTGTTTTGAAAATCCGGCACCACCTGCACTGAGGGCTAAGCCAGGAAGCTGGTTAAAACTGTACAGGAACCTGTGACCTCCAAAGAGGTAGACTGTGCTCATCAGCAGCCTGAGAATAACTGAGCTCCCTTAACCCTCAGAGTGGCATCTTGTGGGTCTGTGGCTTGGGGTGACCTGGCACTGCCTGGCCTGCTGTACAGGCGGAAACAACTCCCCCACCCCTCACATTAATAAAACTTTTAACAGGTTTTTGGCAAACTGGCAAGAAAAGTATATGTAGCTCCTAATTGGTGATTTAAATGCAATCATGAACAAATAAATGCCTGTTACTATCTCATTATTTATGAACTAGATCTGCTTGGAGACAAAATGACTTTTCTTGGGCAGGAGCCAAGCCTAACCCAGTACACGGGCCTGATCTGCCAGCACCAGCAGGAACTGCCTGCTCAGTGCTGCTGGCTGTGGAGGACCATGGGCCTGAGGAGACAGGACTGTGGATAGGATCTCCCTCCCGTTTTGTCCTTTCTGGCCTGGGAGCAACTCTAATGCATACCTGCTGGCCCCTGTCACACTGTCCATCTCTGCTTCCCCTGTGGCAGTCCTACCTCTTAGTACATGTTTTCCTCTGTCCCGCCTTCCTCCATACATTCCCCCTTCCCATGTCTTGGGCACTCTGCCCTTGGGTGGTCTGCTGTGTAGTCTGACTAGTCATCAACCCCTCTGCTCACAGTAACCTCTCTGCCTCCTTAGAACCATATCTTCTGGGCACTGTCCTGCTTACCTGTCCCTGAAGCTGCGACATCCATCCTGTTGCCTTGCCCTCTACGTCCAGGGCCTAGGACTCTCCCTTATCACCTTCCACAGGCAGCCAAGTGTTCTTCGGTCTGTCTCCCAAAGGCCTGAGCAAGTTTCCTCCCACTACAAGGGCAGGGGCTATAAGACTCAGCAGCGGATGAGACAGGGCTGTGAACCGTTACTAGCGTTGGCCTTTAGAAGTCCAATCACTGTGGGGATTCTGGTGAGATTACCCTGGCCCCCATTTATCAGAAGTGGGTGTATCAGCAGGACTCTAACCGAAGGACCAGGTTGTGTGCTTGCCATTCTGCACTGCCTGAAAGCTGCCCTGAACCCAGCCCAGGTGACTGACATAGAATCATCTCTGTGACTGTGACAGATAAGGTTGTGGTATGGGTTGGTAAGGACAACACAGCTGTTACTTGCCCAGGCTCTGGCCTCTCAGACATTGTACCAGCCTGGCCATCCTGGGTATATTCTGTCCAGTTTATACCCTCCATCCCTTTGGAGCGCTGATGCCTTGTGTGCAGACTTGGGCATGCTAAGCAGGCTTGTATTCATGTGCTTGCTAGTTGCCATGGAGAATTTCTCTTGCTGGTACCTAGAGAAGCCCAAGGATTCCGGAATCCACTCAGCTCACATGACGCCAGAAGGTACAAATAGGCACAGAAGTGCAGTAGAGCCCCAGGCGGTTAAAGGGCATAGAAAACATTTGGTTTGTACTGGGATACAGAATGTCACGTGGGGCCCTTCTGTTCTGCTGAGCTCACAGAGAGGTGACACAAATGAACGAGGGTACCAGGTTAGCACCTTAGATACAGGATGTCTGGTCCTTGTGGATGGTGCTGGCCAGCATATAAGCAGTCCACATGGATTTGCATACCCACATGGGAAGCTAGCCCATAAGGCTCATCTCAGCCCAGGCACACAAAGGCCTGACATCTAGGTAGTCTAGGTTGGTAAGTCAGGTTCTTGGGTACCGGGAAACCAGGATTCAGTGGAGCTGCCTTTAGGTCTGGCAACGTGGTAATTTTCTAGGTGGGTAGTGGATGAGTCCCAGGCCTTCCACACAAGATTTTGCATCATTTTATATGCCTGCAATTGGTCAAAGAAGGCCATTGCAGATTCTAACTGAGGCAAGAGAGACAAGTGAAGGAGGGAGGACGGGGCAGAGTAAACAGGACCAAGTAAACCAGGCCTGCTTTTCCCAAATGACAAACTGGGGCAAGGTGTGCCATAACTGCTTGCTGGTGAAGGGCTGGTCATTCAGGAATGATGTGAGCATTTGTTTTGCAAGGACCCCAGGAGCATCTAAGCCCTTTAGCCTGTGCAAACTAATTAGAAGGCTCTGCTCTCAGGTCCCTACAGGGAGAGGAGCAGACAGAAACTCACAGCAGCTTTGGCTAATCGCCTTAAACGTCTCTTGTTTGCATAGCATAGACTCGGCTTGGCATCAGCCCAAATCAGCTTGTTTTCTCACTGTCAGGTTCAGATTCTGGAGATGCCATCCAAGACATCAGTGTGCACCCTGAAGCCGGAGGCAGATGCCAAGCCAGGCATGCCCATGTGCCTGGGGCTGTGGCAGGTAAGACAGCATGCGCCAGCCACACCCGACAGCCCTGAGTCATGCCCCACTCGGTTGCATTTGTCATCAAACCTATGGGCACTATCCTTTAGAGAACGTGTACCTGTTGTCTTCTGGGGCCCAACACTGACTGGACATTGGCTTCTTCTGGGTTCCTGCTGGAAACACTGCAAGGAAATCACCCTCCACAGGCCCTGGCCGGCTTGCTCCACAGTGCCCAGATGTGACTGTGAGGACAGGATAGTTAGGTCAGCTGTGGAGCTTGCTCCAAGAAGAACACATGCCCTTTTCCTCAGCACCTTGGTCCTCGCCTCTGCTAACTGATGTCAACAAGCCAGCGTGGCCCTCACTGTTCTGGGCATTCACTCTTGCCACTTCTCCACCTTACAGAGGTCTCAGGAACGTTAGCATGACAGTTTCCCCCAGGCCATTCCAGGGAAGTCTAGACTGTAGCCATTTCCTTTGTTCTTGATAGTCGTTTCTCCTGGGGCTGCTGCAAAAACTAAGACCCAGACAGTCATCACAGCCTAAGGTTTGGAGTCCCTCCCTACACACAGAAACAGGCCCAGACCTTATCAAGGTGTCCAGGTCAGCATCTTTTACTTCTGGGTCTCTATTTACTGTCTCATTGCAGAAAATCCAGGAAGCCTCATAGTCTTAACCAGTACAGACACCACAGTGGGCGGGTCACAGGGCAGCGCGCCCATGCGGGGAGGGGTTGTAACCCTTTGGCCATCTTCTTATTTCTCATTGGTGATTTCTCCCTCGTGGCTTGCTGCCTCCTTGAACACTTTTAAACGTGAGGTGAAGTGGGCATGACCACATGATTCAGTTTGGAATCGCCCGCATGACCCACAAAAGCATAGGAGGGCACCTCTGTGCCTACCCCAGAGGTTCTCTCTGGACGGAAGGCAGAAAGAGGTCTGGCCTTCTTTCAACTGGCTTTCCTTGTAATTTCTTGCTTTATTTTTTATTTTTATCTTATACGTATGAGTATTTTGGCTTCATGAATGTTTGTGCACCACTTGTGTGCCTGGTGCCTGTGGAAGTCAAAAGATAACTTCAGATCCCCTGGAATTGGAGCTATAGAGTATTGTAGCTGCATAGAGGTGCTAAGAACCAAGCCTGGAACCTCCTCTGTAGGAGCAGCCAGTGTTCTTGACCACTGTGCCACCATCCCTCCAGCTCTTGCAGTTTCTTTCTTTCTTTCTTTCTTTCTTTCTTTCTTTCTTTCTTTCTTTCTCTTTCTTTCTTCCTTTCTTTCTTCTTCTTCTTTTTTTTTTTTTTTTTTTTCGAGACAGGGTTTCTCTGTGTAGCTTTGGTGCCTGTCCTGAATTCTCTCTGTAGACCAGCCTGACCTCGAACTCACAGAGATCCGCCTGCCTGTGCCTCCTGAATTCTGGGATTAAAGGTGTACCACCACCATCCGGCTTCTTGCAGTTTCTTAACTGAGAGGGTTAAGTTTAGATTTGAAGTCTTGAGCAAGCTGATCCTAGTGTTCAGCTTTTGCTGTGCAGCTTCCTGGAGGGAAGCTTTTGGGGAGCCAAGGCTCCTGAGAGCCTAGCTGACAGAGCTCCTGGGCCCATGAGTTTGCAGCCTGACTCAGGGGCAGAGCCTAGTTCTTGGCTTCACTGTCCTGATGGGGCTTCTCGAGAGTGTCTGGGCACTGGGAAAATAAATGTGTCCTCATCTTGCCTACTGACTTTACTCACACTGAAGTACCGAAGGAGGTGACCATGGTACACACAGGCCTGGCACAGGCACCTGTGGCTGCACCACTCCTCTTCTGTATCCTGGAAAACATGGGTCTCTGCCCAATCGTGTAAAAATTCCATCAGAGAAGAGAAGTGTAGAAAGGGATGTACCAACTTGTTACGGTAATTAATATGGTTGACAGAAGGACAAATCACAGTTTTGTTGGTGATACAGATCCAATGTGAAGCTCACAGCTGCAACAAGCCTCTGGTTATAGGAATGCTCTTTGTTTTCTCCTAAATCCAGAAGTCCTAGGGTATGAGCTCACTGGTGTGAGTGTGGAAAGTATCCTGACCTGGTGCATCTTCTGAAACACTCGTGCCCATCTTTAGCTCATGCTCTAAAGTAGCAGTCCTGCATTGCCACAGTAATAATCACAGGACAGATAGGCTGTAATACCACCAGTACCCACCCTCACAGAAAGTTCCCGTCTGAGTCTTGGGGCCTCTCAACTGAGCTGTGCACACCACTGGGGTTCCTATAGGCCCTGGCCTGCTACTATCTCTCAGGCTTATTTCAAAGGGCCGGAGAAGCTACCGGACCAATCTTTGTGTCTAGGTCCCCGCTGAAGGCGAGGGGAACTGCTAGGGAAGGCAAGGCAGGGTGACTTCTTATCCTCAGTCCTGCAGCGTCAAGGCTGTGACCACCAGGGACACTGTGCAGCCTGTGGTGCCTGTCACTGAAGGCTATAGGAACCAGGGAGATCCAGTAGAGTGACGTGTTGGGGGCTACACTATGGTGGTAACTGGCCGGGGCTGAAAGACCAGACATACCTCCTAGACCATCTGGCTTCTGAGCTGGCCACCCTTGGTACCATGGCAGAGGGACCTTATCTAGTAGCTCCTGAATAATCTGTGTTGCTCAGAACTCAGTCACAAGCTTTGTACAAGCCAGTTAGAGCTGACACCAATGATGAGGACTCTGAACTGCCCCGACTCAAGACAAAACAAAACAACAAACAAACAAGGAAAGCTGCAGGGGGAAGGAGGCAGCGTAGCCAGAGCTGTAGAGGTGGGTATAGATGTCACCGCAGATCACTGCTGGGGCTCTAGTCAAGTAGTGAGAGGGTTCTCTAAATGGGCTTCTAGGGTAGCATCTACCGGGGGCCCATGCTGTGGGTGGTGATTAAGAGTGACAACAATTGGCCTGTATTCCTGGTTGGGGTGCAGAGGGTTCTGGGATTCTTGAGCCTGGTGCTGCCCCTGTCCTGGTCTAAACCGCAGCAAACACTGTAGGCCTGCACAAACCACTTCCAAGCAGATGACCTGAGAAACACCAGCAGCGAGTTCTTCCTGTGACAGAACTCAGGGGCAGTGTAGCGGTGCAGCCAGGGCCCCTGCAGAGCCAAGCAGAACCACTCTGCGGGGCACTGGACATACTCTGATACCTTAGGGCTGTGGTCAAAGGACACAGTATGGACACTGGCCCTAGCAGGGAGGGATGGAAGATGATACGAAAAGTAAATTGCCCAGGAAACACAGGAAACTTCATGTCTCCTCCCGGGAGCCCCACTCCTTCCTATTCTGTATATGTAAATCTGGATCACCAGTGGAATATACCCATTTACAAGCCATTTCTGGACATATAGGGGCCCTTGGTGGCAGCTCTGGCCTTGGCAAGTTCACTGTTCTTGCAGAAAGTCTGGTCATTGTGTCGTCCTTTCCTTATCATTGCCGTCTTCCCAGATGCTAGTCTACAGTGTGCCTTGCCCCCACCCCTCCACCAAGCTTACACTACACCACACCTCAGCCACAGCCTGACCCAGAGAGCCCTGGCCCTTGTGCTGTTTGTTAGATGCATGCCATAGGCCTCTGGCTAGCCCAGGCCTCCTTGCTCAGCCCTGTGCAGTTTCTCTTGGGCTGCTGTGCCGTACAGGGACTGATGGCATGTCCCTGAGGGTGACTTGGAATCCTGAAGCACTCTTCTTTTGTAGTTGTTTCAGAGGCTAAATAAACGAGCGTCAGCCCAGGGCGCAGAGCCCTCTGACCCTCGCCCTCATCCATCACGATAGTGAGGGCCTCTCACACCAAACTTCCAAAGGGGGTGGGGGGCTCCTGCAGCTATGTTAACAAAGCCCAGAAAGTCCATCCCCGTGAGCTTGCAACTTTCCTGCCTCGGGTTCTAGAAGATAACTGGTCTCAGCCAGGAGAGACTTCAAGTCTTACATCTGGAGGAGATAAGGAAGAAGTCTGAGTCCATCCCTGGCTGGTGGGTGCCAGTGGGTGTTATGTCATCCTTGCTTTGGACAGGATCCAGTGTAGGTGAAAATGCATAACAATGTGAGTTCTGGGGGGCTCAGACTCCACCCCCAGCTCCTCAGGTCCTGAGCAGCGGCCCTGCAGCCCCTTGAGAGGGATGTAGAAGCCTGCTAGGTTACATGGAAAGCAAAGGGACTCTTGCTCTGACCAGGCCACCCCCGATGTGGGCATGGCTGGAGAGAGAGCTGATCCTGCAGTCTTAAAGTTCAGTGAAGACAAGACTGTTTGGGAGCCAACCACTGTGCTGTTCCCTACAGACTAACTCCAGTCCCCGCCCACTCCTTCTGGCTGGCTATGAGGATGGATCGGTAACCCTGTGGGACATCTCAGAGCGGAAGGTGTGCAGCCGAATCGCCTGCCATGAAGAACCTGTCATGGGCCTTGACTTCGACTCTCAGAAGGCCAAGGGCGTCTCAGGCTCTGCCGGGAAGGTACTAGCTGTCTGGAGTCTGGACGACCAGCAGTCCCTGCAGGTCAGTGCACAGGCCCGGGCCTCATTTATCCTGCTCTGCACTAACAGTCTGATAGGCCAAAACAATATTTAGGCATGAAGAGGAGTGGCTGCAGTTCCCTAGCTAATTAATCACTCTGAGGCAGTAGGGAGCAGGGGCCAGTGGGCGTGAACTCACCATTCACATGGTTTGGGTTTCTCCTGGACCTCGGGTTAACAGCCATCAAGTCTTGTCCATCTAGAAAAAGGCACGTAGTGTCCAGGCAGACCAAACTCCTTTGTGAAAACTCAAGAGGAATTTGGTCAGTAAGGAACTGATTAATCAAAGGGAAAGAAAAGAGAAAAAGAAAGAAAAGAAAAAGAAGAGTTATGGCAAATCCTGCAAAGCAATGGCCTGGTGGATCTGTAAGCTGGTCCTAGGGACACTGTTGCTCATAGAGCACAGGAAAGCCCACCAGGCAATAAGGCCTCGGAGGAGCAAGGCCTGCTGGAGACAACTCCACAATGTCCTGCATGGCCCCAGGAATGCCTCTGTCCCCTAGAGTGCAGCATAATGGGCCTAGCTGGCTTGTTCCCCATTTGGGATGGAGAGATGATGGCAGGGGTTGTGAAATATATATATCCAGGACGTGGTTTTGTACAGGTCTGGCAGACTGTAGGCTACCAAGACACCACAGGTGGTCTGGATACACCGACTCAAGGAAGGAAAGGCGCCTGTTATTTGGAGTCTCAGAAAGCAGTCCTGGCCTTGGCCAAACAGTGGAAACAGCCCTGGTGGGAGAGCCACGTGCCCTATGGAATATCATATGGCTATAGCCCAGCTCCCAGTCTCACTGGATTGGCTAAAGCAATAAAGTCAATGGGGGGCCATGCAACTCTTCTTTGGGGGCATGGTGGTCCAGGTTGCCTCCACCCAGTAGGAGGCGTTAGAGGTCATTACTGCACTTTCCCAAAGTGGGAAGGTACCTTGCTCAGCACACTCATACCACCATGCTCAGATCTTGCAGCCAAGGATAGGGTTTGCTTTGTGCACATCAGGCCCGGGTCTAAATGACTTACCCCAGTTCCTGAGGGGTGTGGTGGGGAAAGTCAGGGCTAGGTTGGTGCTGGGTGCCACCCAGGTTCTTGAGGGCATCACTAAACCCAGGGTAGAAATTAGGGCCTTATCATGAGGCCATTCTGGGAAAGGGACTGATTGTGGGCAGTAAATAAGGGGCAGAAGAAGTCCCAGATCAAAAGGAGGCTGATGTAGAATAGAACCATAGAGGTACCCAAAGACCATATGCCATGGCTTGGGCATAGTGACTGTAGCCAAGTAGGGGCAGATCCAGGAAAGTAGAGACAGCATAGGTAACTTGGCCTCCCCACCAGCAATGCCTAGCAGAAAAGGGAAGGTAGGCAGTGAGACCCAGCAGTAAGGCAGGCACATACCCATAGCACTAAGCATTGACCATCTAGGGTCCAGCTGCGCTGGGCAGATAGTGGATTGAGAGTAAAACTGTCCTGTATGTCCATCCATCCTTCCCTCCATGTCTGAGAGACCCACAAGTTTCCTGTAAAGGGAAGGGTCTCGAACCTGCAGAAGAGCTCCTAAGCCCCCAGAACCATGCCCTGCATGTGAGCATAAGGGAAAGCACAGTACTCGACCACTGCGTCTGTGTGTCCTGAGTCCCCACCTCACTAGGTGCTGAGCCCAGCAAGTAGGCTTGGGGGTCTCCTTCACACACCCTTCCTGCTTCGGCACCACCCTCTGGGGTCCAGCATCCATCCCCTTCTGGCTTGACTCATCAGCCTGAAGGCAGAGGATGGACACCTAGGCCCCTCCTGCAAGAGCTGGGCATCTCCTACTCTCGTACCCTGCACCCGGAAAAAGTCCTTCCAGCCCATATCTTCTTGGAATCTCCCTACATGTTTGGGAAACAGCTGCTGGAACTTAAGACTTAATTTATGGGCATGTTTCAGTCCAGAGATGAACTTTTACTCTACTAATGAATTGAAAAGTTAAAGCAGAAGGGGAGCTAGGAACTGCAGCCTGGAAGTAGTTGGGGTGAGGTGGGCAGGGCCCGACTCAGCAGTAGACATCAAAGGAGGTAGGGAGCCCCAGGCCCCCTGCTGAGCTTGCCTTCCTGCTTGGGAGGGTGCGAATGACTCACGAATCTGATGAAGGCCCAGAGCTGTTTAACCCAGAGTCAGGTCCAGTGCTGGCCTTAGAGCCCCCAAAGATCCTCGTTCTTATAGCCCAGGCCTCGGGGAAGGAAGCATCTGGTAATTTGCCAGGGCAAGCTATTTGAGATCATTTTTAACATATGAGAGCCAGTGAGATGGCCTCCAGTCCACAGCATCCTTACTGGTGCCATGGCACCAGAACATGGCCGCCCGCCTTGGCCCACGCCCCACTGGTTCAGACGTGCTTTCCTCACATCCTCCTGCTAAAGCCTCCAAGGAACCCAAATCAATCTCCCAGCCACTCGGGACACAGATCCCTGGCTGAGGCGCCCGCAGCCTAGCATGGGTAATCAGAACCAGATGGTGCCGCGCCGAGCATTCCTGGCACCTGAGGTCATGAGCTGTAAGAGCCACTGGTGGCCAGAGAGCCTTTCTGGAGGGTCCTGAGCCCAGGCCAGAGGGCTCAGGCAGGGAGGGGCTGCTATGACCAGTAGGATGCCTGTGGAGGACAGCATACTGGAGAGTGCCTGGGGAACCTCGGGGACGTTAGCTCACTCCTGCCTCCCTGAGGTGGCTCTGCTGCTAGCCATCAGGTTTGGGCTTAGATACAGGTGGTACCCAGGCCCTCTCCTTCCTCCACACAGAGTAGGACCCACAGCCTTGAAGCAGGGACTGATTTACAGCCCGTAGTATTTTAGGTCGTTAAGTAATAACAAGGCTCCCTTACCCAGATCAGCCCAGTGTGCTGAGCAGAGTCCCAGCCTTGTATCCATCTGCAGTCCTGGTTGTGCCACAGTCGTGGCCTCAGGAGAGCCACTGGGGCAGCTGGTCAGAAAACTGTAGGGTCATCTCCATGGGTACCAAGAGGGCCTGTACATACTGGAGCAGAACATGAGGTTCTTCTCATATCAAGAGCTAGTAGGGAGGCAGGAAAAAGTCAGCGTGAGACCTCTTTGCCTCTGAGGATCACAGTCGGGGCTCAGAGTAATTAGCAGCCAGGCATAGGGTTAAGAGCTGCCTTCATCTCTCTGGAAATCAGAATTGTTAAGTTCCTAGGACAAGGAGGCAGCAAGGAAGTGTCCTTGAGACAGGGCCCTGAGTGGGTCCCCATGGGGCCACTCTGTACCCAACAGTCCCCTCTCTACTTTGGCCAAGCCAGCATTCCCAGAGAGACAAGGATAAAAGTGTCAATACAGTCCAATGTATAGGTTCCCAGCCCCCAGTTCCCCAGGATCATATATAGCTCTCCAGTCTCAGGAAGAGCAACCGGGTCTGTCTGCAGGCATGGGCGGGCACCACATGCATGCTCAGGCGCACCACACCACAGCATCTGCTCCACACCCTGCCCCAGTGCAGGCTTTGCAACCTGTGTGTGGAGCCTAGTGAGGACAGAGAACAATGGAGGGTCCACATCAGCAGACAGATGCCTCGCACACAGAGGACCCACCTGAGCTCGCTCTTTTAACTGCTGTGGCCACACTCAGTTGGGAAACATTTAGAATAGGCTGGGGCTCTGCCAGATGAGAACGTAGAAGATGGACAAAATATTCAGGCCACAAGAGACATCAGAGGGACAAGAAGAGGTGGTTGGAGCCCAACCCTAGAAGGGCCAGAGAGGGCATGGCAACAAGAAAGCTGGAGGACTGCATTGCTGGTGGCACTCGTTGGGACCCAGACTTGTCATATGAAGCAGGTCACTTTGGATGGAACTGGGTAGTGACAGGTTCTCACTGGGTGAAGTTCCTTCCATGTCTGTGGGGGATGAACTGGACTGTGAATGGGTGCTGGATTTTGACAAATGTGTTTATTGCCTCTCTCTGACTGACACAGGCTTTCTTACTCTTACTTGTATATGTGTGTTCGTGTATGTATAGTATATATGTATGTGTATGTATGTGCTTGTGCAGGTAGAGGTTGATCTCTGAGATCTTCATCAGTCACACTCCGCTCTGGTTTTTTTTTAAGATTTATTTTATTTTAAAGTGTGTATATGTGCATATGACCAGAAAGGGATATTAGATCCCCTGGAGCTGGAGTTAAGAGGTAGTTGTGAGCTGCCTGACGTGGGTGCAAGAGCTGTTAAGACTCATTCTTAACTGCTGGGCCAGCCCCAACCCTTTATTTATTTATTTATTTATTTATTTGTTTGTTTGTTTGTTTTTTTGTTTACCTGGAGCTCACCATTTACCTAGACTTGCTGCCAGCAAGCCCCAGAGACCCTCCTGTCCTTCACCTCCCCAGTACTGGGATTCCAAGCCAGCATCATTGCTGTAGATTGTTTTTTATGTGAATGCTAACAGCCCAAACTCAGGTCCCTGTGCTTGCTTAGCCAACACTTTTACCAACGGAGCCATTTCTATGGACTTGGATGTTCTTCTTGACTCTGTTAATTTAGAAAGTGCAATTGTGTTCCCTTTAGTATCAAAGCAATGAAGTAAAGCCTGCTGTGGCAGTGTACACCTGTAGTCTCAGCTCTCCAGAAGGCTGAGGCAAGAGGCTCACTTGAGCCTAGGAATTGAAGACCACTTTGGCTCCCTAGTGAGACTCCATCTCAAAGAGGAATAGTTCTAAGGTAACCAACTGTGATATGTGTCTCTCTGACTCCACTGGGTCAGACTTTGGGCTGCAGTTGACTGGCACCCAAGCTTCCTACCACGTAGTTTTGCTGGTGGCATTGAGGGGCTAGAAACTGCAGAAGAGGTCCCTGCTCTTTTGCTCAGAGGCTAAATCCGGGCATGAATTAACCTCTTCTTTGCTGTTGTATTGCAGGGCTGGGGGTTCAGGCAGGAAACCTGGGCCTCTTGTTGTTCCTCAAACACATGGCCTGAGCTGCTTTAGTCTGGACTCTGCATGCTG